AGGAATGCTATGGTAGCCCAGAAACCATTGAGAAGGCTCTCTTCAAAAAGTTGCAGAACTTTCCAAAAATCTCTGGTCGAAACAATAAAAGGTTATGAGAGCTTGGAGATCTTCTGATGGAGCTTGAATCAGCCCAGGCTAAATCCTACTTACCAGGTCTCATTTTCTTGAATACCTATCATGGATTGAACCCCATTGTAGATAAATTGCCATTCGACGTGCAGAAACAATGGAGAATAGAGGGTTCAAGATACAAGTCAGAGCATCAGGTCGCATTCCCCCCATTCTCGTTTTTCTCAAGGTTTTTCCACAACCTGGCTAGGATCAGAAATGACCCGAGTTTCATGTTTGGCACCACGGGGATCTCCAGTCCAGATCTCCCAAAAATGGCAAGAGCAACGGCGAGACGAGGAACAGCGAGAGTGCCAATCTCTGTACACAAGACTGAGGTCTCTCCTACGACATTAGCAAACTCCGTCCAGGCAACTATCACAAAGAAAAAGATAGAAGATCCAGAAAGGCAATGCCCATTGCATGATAAACCTCACTCCCTCCAGAAATGCCGTGAGCTCAGGAGGAAGCCACTGGAAGAGCAGAAGAATATGTTGAAAGAATTTGGAGTGTGCTTCAAATGATGTGCTTCTACAAACCACCTTGCACGAAATTGCAAGGCAGATATCAAGTGTGAAGAATGTGGCAGCGACAAACACACAACTGCTCTGCACACATTTTACTCCAAACCTAGTGGCACTAAGAGTTCCGATTTCGAAGCAGAGCACGGTGGGGAGCAATGTGAGACCGCCGCATCCACTTCAAAGGAAAATCTTGCTCAAAGATATGCCTCGTCCGAGTATATCCCAAAGGACATCCTGAAAGAGCAGTAAGGATGTACGCCATAATGGACGACCAGAGCAACAAGTCTTTGGCAAGGTCAGAGTTCTTTGATCAGCTAAGCGTATGTGGGAATTCCTTTCCATACACGCTCAGAACATGCTCAGGACTGATGGAGACAGCGGGAAGAAGAGAGAGCGGCCTCATGGTGGAAACTATGGATATCATCATGAAGCTAGCCCTTCCTACGGTGATAGAGTGCAATCAGATACCGAACGACAAGAGTGAGATTCCCACGCCCGATGTCGCACGTCAACACCCACACCTAAAACCCATAGCAGAGTTCATCCAGCCACTTTACGCTGAAAGAGAAACTCGAAGAGAGAAGTCAAGGTTGTACCATGCAGACCTACGAAGAAACCTCCATGCTGGAAACACAAGAAGATGATGTTGAACATAGGGTGTTTATGACAACGAAGGACAACGACAAACCTGCTCCATCGCTAGAGGATGAAGAATTCTTGAAAATAATAATGGAAAGTGAGTTCTTCCAAGATGAGTCAAACAGCTGGGTTGCCCCTCTGCCATTTCGTAATCCCAGATGCCGGTTATCCAACAATAGAGAGCAAGCCTTCTCATGGCTCAACTAATCGCGCCGTACCTTGGACAACCAGAGATGAAGACTCATTTTGTATCCTTCATGAAAAACATATTTGATAGTGGTCACGCTGAAGCAGCCGCTCCTCTAGAAGAAGGATAGGAATGCTGGTGTTTATCACCCAAAGAAGCCGGATCAGATCAGAGTAATTTTCGATTCCAGTGCTCAATTTAAGGGCATTTCCTTGAACAATGTAATGCTCACCAGACCGGGCTTGGATTACTCATCCTTTTCAGAAAGGAGTCAATCGCTGTAACAGCCGACATTCCACTGCTTCATTGTCCAAGAGGACAACAGAAATTATCTCAGATTTCTGTGGTACCGCAATAACAATGTTGATGATCGAGTTGTTGAATACAGAATGAAGGTGCATGTCTTCGGCAACAGCCCATCCCCAGCGGTAGCCACCTATGGACTTAGGAGGACCGCGCAAGCAGGAGATTGGGAATTTGGGGAAGACGCCAAGCGATTTGTAGAGCGTATGTTGGCGATTCACTTAAATCAATGCCCACGGCCTCAAAAGCCATCGATCTGCTCCAAAGGACGCAAAGAATGTTAGCAACTGCTAACCTGAGACTTCACAAGATAGCGTCCAGCAGCGCAAAAGTAATAATAGCATTTCCTTCAGACGATCGTTCAAAAGACTTGAAAGACTTGGACCTTAACACACCACCAATCCAACGCAGCCTTGGACTGAGTTGGGACCTGAAAGCGGACACATTCACATTCCGAGCATCAATTGGAAAGAAGCCTTACACACGACGTGGCATTTTGTCGATGGTAAACAGCCTGTACAATCCACTAGGATTTGTAGCGCCGGTCACCATTCACGACCGTTGGATACTCAGAGATATTTGTGCTGATACACAAGACTGGGATAGCCCGTTGACTGAGGAAAGGGAACAAGAATGGGAAACTTAGAGAAATTCCTTACAGGCACGTGAGCAGCTACAGATTCCACGCTTCTATACGCCCACATGCCTTTCCGTAACCCAACGGAAGGAGTTACATGTGTTTGCAAATGCTTCTATGATGGCCGTAGCAGCCGTAGCTTACCTAAAAACCAATGGGTGGCATAACTTCACAGTGCCACGCACTGAAGATGAGCTTTCCAGAACAAGGAAATTAATCTTCTGCTGTGTGCAACATGCAGCTTATGCAAGTAAGATCAAGTCCATCAACAAGGAAGAAGACCTTCAGTCAGCTCCCTCAGGAAGTTAAACCCAGGATGGACACAGACGGCTTGCTCAGGGTCGGTGGTCGGCTAGGGAATGCAAAATTAGATAAGAATGAACGAAACCCCCTCATATTCCCAAGCCAGAGCCACATCGCAATTTTACTTGTGCGCTACTACCACGAGAAGGTCAAGCACCAAGGTCGGCACTTCACAGAAGGAGCAATCCGATCTTTAGGGTTGTGGATCGTTGGAGCAAAGAGGTGCATCACCAGCACAATCCAAAAGTGTAGCAGGTGTCGCAAGCGACATGGAAAACAGGAAGAACAGAAAATGGCAGAACTCCCAGCTGATCGACTCAGTATTGAACCTCCCTTCACCTCTGTAGGGATCGACGTGTTCGGACCATGGACAGTCATCTCCCGCCTCACCAGAGGAGGGCTCGCGAACAGCAAACGTTGGGCAGTGCTGTTTACCTGTATGAGTACACGAGCAGTGCACATCGAAGTAATCGAGTCCATGGATTCTTCGAGCTTTATCAATGGACTCCAGAGATTCTTCGCCATCAGAGGGCCAGCCAAGCAACTCCGTTCTGATTGTGGAACCAATTTCACTGGAGCATGTAAAGAGCTTAAGATCAATACGGAAAATGTTGAAGATGATTCTGTAGGGAAATACCTTAGTGACCAGGGCTGCACATGGATCTTCAATCCTCCTCACTCTTCGCATATGGGTGGAGCCTGGGAACGCATGATCGGGATTGCTCAACGCATTCTCGACTCCATGCTGTGTGATGCCGGGTCCACACGGCTCTCTCACGGGGTCTTGACCACTCTCATGGCCGATGTCTCAGCTATAATTAACTCAAGACCCCTGATCCCCGTCTCAACCAAGCCGGAATGACCATTCATCTTGACTCCTGCTACACTTCTTACCCAGAAGACAGACGTGCTCACAGTGCCCACCGAGGAGGTCAGCACTGCAGACCTTTACAGACATCAATGGAGACAAATGCAGAGCTTCGCCAACACGTTCAGGCGTCACTGGAAAAACAAGTACCTTACGACACTTCAAGTGCGCAGCAAGTGGCAGTCGAACATACCAGACATCCAAGAAGGTGACCTTGTCCTACTGCAGGACAACCAAGTCAAATGGAATAAGTGGCCAATGGGCCGCATCCTCAAGACGATTCCCAGTGCCGATGGAAAAGTTTGAAAGGTTGAGGTTATTATGATTGTGAAGCAAGGTGTCGCAAGAACTTTCGTCAGGCCTATAGCTGAGACAGTACTACTTCTCTCTCGTAAAGATATGCGCAAATAAGTTGACCCATTAAAGTTTGTTATACATTTGTTTATGAGATGGCAAATAAATGGTGGCATCTCCTAGATACCAGACGGGGAGTGTTCTGCCTAACGGCAGGTGTGAGGGTGTGCGTACACAGGAATTTCCTGTATTGTATTGGTCACGTGACCAGGAAGTTAGGATTTGAGATTCTCTAAGTCATGCGGCAGGGTGTCAGCCAATACACAGAGTACAAATGGAGGTACAAATAGCGTCTCAGTGAAGACAGGTGCATCTGTTAATTGTGGGACTTTAAGAAGCATTGTCTGTAAGTTCGTTTATGTTCTTATAATACGGGGAATGCTGTTATAATGTTAGGATGGCCGTTATAATGCTGTAAATGCCTTTATAATGCAGTTACATTGTTATGAAAAATACGAGGCCTAGTTAACAACGAAGCCTGCCACTTGCATTATTGTTAATGTTATTAGTAATTGAATAAGTCGAGTCAGACTTGTACCCATGTAACCTTATTGCCATCTTGAGAGCAAGGGTGACGAAATTACCTCACCCACAGTTCAGTGTTATGGGTAGTGCTTTACATTTAGGCTGCAGTATGGTGATTACACGATGTGCCCTTATTTACCACAGTAGCTTATTCTCTTGTATAGCTATTCATTACTAATATAGGTGCCTGGTCCATCCAGGATCTATTGTTGAGTTTCATGTTATCTAAGACAATGTTATGATGCTGTAGTGTTCATTAATTGTATTGATATTCCAAGTATTAAGAAATGCTGTATTTTGTGCTGTGTTTTTCCATAAGTTTTACCTCCTTCAATTCATTAAATACTTTTGGAGTTGGATGTTCACCCTGGCTCTGAAGGTTTATTGAATGCGAGGTTATCTACTTGGATAGTGGTGCAATGTAGCGCACAGCGAGGCCGAGACAGACGGTGTTGCTGCTGTTAATGATGAAGACGAAGATAGATTTATGGATCGACATCAGAAATCGTGACAGTGGCGACCACATCACCCAGGTGCATAGCGACCCACCTTGATGACGCGCGCCAGCCCGAAGTCGGCCACCTTGCAGGTGAGGTTGTCTCCGACCAGGACGTTCCGCGCCGCCAAGTCGCGGTGGATGTAGTTCTGGGCTTCCAGGTAGGCCATGCCCGACGCTACCTGCGCAGCCATCTCCAGCAGCTCGGGGACTCCCAGCATCCAGTGCATCTGGCCTGTGGGGGGCGAGGGGAGGGGCAAGGGGGGGCGAAGGGGGGCCGGGGGGAGGGGGGGATGGGCACACGAGGGTGGGGGCGCACTTGGGTGGGGGCGCACGATGGGGGCAGGGGCACAGGGGGCGTCCACACCATCGACACTGATTAGTGTCGCCACCACCCTTCATCGGCACACGATTTAATATCTTATAACTTGAAGTAGCCTCATTGCGGTGAAGTTCAACGTGGAACTGGCGGTACCAGACCTCGGCAGGAATTGATTGCTGCCACCCGAACTCTGGACAATAAATTCGTGGCATCGACCGAGTCAAGCCCAGTGGCGACCTTGCCGGCAAGGCGGGGCCACCATCGCTTGAGCCATCGCCCGGCGAAGGCGACCTTCTAACACCGCGTGCAGTGCCGCTGAAGAACGTGTTGAGATGTGTTGTTAATCGCGCCTGTGCACCACTGCCAACTCAGCCGCAGCATCACATTTGTATATGATTGAACAAGTTAGTGGGTGAGTGGTCGGATGAGTCGGTGGTTGGGTGAGTGGTCGGGTGAGTAGGTGGTCAGGTGAGTGGTCGGGTGAGTTCTGCCTCCATCTCTAGGCCTTCACTCGCTGAGCTGTGGGAGCACAGCGCTCCCCATCGCCTCTGCGTGGCGGCCTCCACGGGGAGGTTCCCCCTGCGACCGTGCGGTTTCCAAATCAAAAGTGCCAAGTGGAAGGCCCAGTGGATCATGGAAATTGAGTTGACACTCTTCTCGAGTGACAGGGTGTAACACCGCGAGCCTGCACTACTGGTGGAATTCATAGACACCTCGGGGTCTGCGCCGACACATTTCCCATTTCAACAGCCTCACGCAGCATCCACCCTCACTTATTCGCCTCCCTTTATAACTCCATCACATCTTGGAAGCTTAAGCCTGGCATGACCCCGGATGGGAAAGACTGCCCCGACACTTTGAAGGTCTGTTGTTGTAATAGGCTTTGGCTGCTACAAGGTCACCACGAGATGGCGGTGCAACCCAAAATACTTGCATCTAACCGTAGTGGCGCTTTGGGTGTTACCCACTCCAGTATTAAGTGTGGTGGGGGTTTTCTCCGGGCTCTCCAGTTTCGTCCAATTAACAGAATTGGCCAAACATCCCAAGGTAGGGGCATGCCGCATAAAGCTGGCGTGACTCTCGGTGGGGCATCCCTGGCTTAAGGGGATCGTGAGTACAATACTGTATAATGTGCTTTATCAGGCACTGTACCGTATACTGTACAATGCACTAGCATACTGTATCACTATGAGTACAGTACTGTATGGGTGCAGCCTTGTGTGGGTACAGTCCCTTTTGTTGTTCCCTTTGTGGTCACAGCCTTTGTTTAAATAACATTTCGTGTTCCTCATTTCGAGCGATTACAGCCGTGCTGCAGACATCGGGCTCAATGTTGTGGACGTGTCAAGTCCGAGCTGTCACAACGCTCCCCCCCCATGTCCCATGTTAGAGAATGGTCCGCGGAAGTGGACGTCACCAAGTTTCTTTCTGAGATCCCTTCGAAGCGACCTCCTTAGCTCCACACTCCTCCCCCCCACCCCAACTATTATAGAAGTGCGTTTTGCAAAGGCAGTCAAAATCACATGCGTTTTGTTCAATCCTCAATTCTCCAACTTTGGCCAAATCTAATCACAAACGAACCCGTGCACATTTAGTGCGGTGCGCGTCGTGCGTTGCACGCGCGGTGCGTTTCTAGTTGCTGGATAAACGAGCGAGCGCCTCCAGCCAGCAGTGCACCGCCACGACGTCGTCTCGACCCCCCGCCAAGTTTGCAAAGGCTGCGGTGTGGATGCCGTAGCACGGGTGGTGCATTGCCCCAGCACGGGTAGACTTTGGTGGGTGAGGAGTCTCTTCACAAGACGTGGCGGGAGCGTGGGGGGGGTGGGGGGGAATCCTCGTTTGTTCCTCGTCTCCCACCCACGCGGTGGTTTAGAACCCGGCGCGGTCGCAGCCTTCGCTGCTGGCCGCCGCTGATAAGAAACCGCGGCTGGCGAAATCGGACTTTTACCCAACACTGCTACGGCTCCGTCTCACTCTCTCGCATGCTCGCCACAAAAAAACCCAGACCCGAGTTGTGTAAATGCGATTTGTTCCTCTGAGCCGACTATCCGAGCCTCGTTAGAAAACGACCTTTAGTTTCGGTAGCGTTTATGAATGTTTGTGTGCTATTTCGATTTCTCCCTGGAATGGCAGGTTGTTGTTGGTCCAGTTTCTATTCACTTAATTGTTTCACTTTGTGGTGAATGTATGGTTAATACAGACTTGATCCCTTGCAAAATCTATCTATTTAAGGTGTGAACATCTTATAACCTCCTGTTTTTTTGCCAGAAAAGGTAAAACTTATTCTTATGTTTTCATACTTTGATACTGGCAAAAAATGTCACGTGATATGTTTAACTTTATTTGATGTTTTGCTTTTGTCATCGTGGTGACCCACACCATACTCTCTCCGAATGAGACTCCTACCCTGTGCAGTCTGGTTCTCCAATAATGTCGCGTGTTGTTTTAAAAACGCGAATTGGATACAACGCGATTTAATGTAATTCCGGAACACATTTTTATAACGCGAATTGGATATAACACAGTCAACTGAATGGAACTACGTCGCAGCGCGAGTAGGAATAAGTGGCTGTACGGCTGCCTCGACGTAGCATCATCATCACACAAGGCGGGGATGCTGCTGGATGCTTCTAGATGCTACCCATCGTTTCCAACCCCATGCCCCCCTCCTTCCCTTTTAGCACACAGCAACCACTTACCGTGCATCCCTGGGGCTCTGTAGCCGTGAGTGGGGCAGGGCGGCTGTGCCACGGTCAGTCACTAGATCGACACGGCCTCAAATGAGTGCCGTACCAGGTGCAGTGTTTAAACTGGGGAGAGAGACAAAGGCAGCCGGGCGTGGCGCTGGAAACCCCATGCCCTTGTGTCCGGTTAGCATCGTGCGCGAGCGCGCGTCATTGTGTACGCGCGTTCTTTGTCTGCACGCTTGTCTGTAACATGTCTCTCTGTGTCTATAGGGAGCAGTAGTTGCAGTGGTTACTGCGCTAAGCTGGGAACCTGGCAATCTGAGTTCAGTTCCGGCTCATGGCAAACACCAGTTATGGTTATCTGAACCAGTCCTTACTGAGGTCAACTCAGCCTAAAATGAGTACCTGCTACATTGTGTAAACATCACCACGAGTAAAACAAATGCGGCCAGGCATGGTCCTGGCCACCCACCCCCTCGTGTGCTGTGCTAGCCGTCATAGGTGCTCGCTAACAGCACTTACCCCGATAGTCTGTTTAGGCTATACAGATGATCTTTGTCTCTGTGTACAGGTGCGCATCTCGGCATGCTTGTGTATCTGCATACTTGTGTCTCCATGTCTCTACGGGCTCGTGTTTGCTGCATGCGCATGTCTTTGCGTGCTCGTGTCGTGTGTGAATCCGTGTCTCCCTGTCTCCGCATGCCCATGTCTCTCCGCGCCCTCACGTCTCCGCGCGCCATACCCTGCAGGCACTGGCGCAGGCTGCCATGCGGCATGAGCTCGGTGATGATGAGGAACGGTTCGCTGGTGGTGCACACCGCGTAGAGCGCCACCAGATGCGGGTGCCGGAACGCCTTCATCAGCTGCGCCTCCTCCAGGAAGCTCTCTGCGTCTGCATGTCCTGTGGAGGGTCCAGCCCACGTGAGCACGATCTGTTCAAACGAGCCCCTACCACGCAGTGCTCTTTGCTCTGGTCCACATCTACTCGCTTAATTGGTCCCTTTTGTGTTATTTATTATATGTTGTAATTTTTGGTGATCCAGGTCACTCTTGAAAAATGTGAGTATTTGGCTTGCTGCTATTACTGTCCACATTAATAAGCCACTTTGTTGAGCTTATCATTTGTGATAGCCAGGTTGCTTTTGAGAAAAGAGCTATGTAACTCAGTTGGGCGTTACCTGGTAAAATAAAATAAATAGTTTTAGTCATTTTAGTAGGCTATCCTGGTCCCCTTGAGTCGGGTTTCTCACCTTGTTAATCAAAATATAGGCAGTCCTTGACTTACGTTGATCCGCACTCATTGCACGTTGCCATGAGTGTGTGGGTTTGTGTGTTTGTGTGTGGTTGCGCACTTGGCTCTCCAACGGTGGGGTTTATGTAAAAGAAATAGCCAGGTACCACGCCGTAAGCCTTGCGGAGAGCAAGCAATTTTCCTTTTTCACATCCTTCAACTTTCAATTAGTTTAATTAGCGATTTAGTGTGATTTTTGTGCGCTTCCCCTTTATTTATTTATTTATGACGTGTGGACGACCATACCAACTCACGAGCCTTTGGTGGGGGGGATGGCCCATGCCAAGTCGCACGCCTTCGGTGAGACTGAGGGGGACATTTTCTTTAGCGTCAAAAATGCTATCAAAATACACTAAACGCTGACGTAAATTATTCACTGTGTGATGTCCCTCCCACCCCGATGCGTGCAGTTACTAATATATATGTAGAGGTGGTACATACCGGGATGTAGCGAGCCATCGCGTAGCCGGTGTCTACATCACGGTCCGCACTTGGGTGGTTACACCGACGTCAGCACTAGCCCCGCCCCTCGGGGAGCAGAGGGCTATATAAGGCGATGCGCATGAGCGCTCGGGAGTCGTTGAAGCCAGTGAAGAATGAAGACGGAGCAAGCTAGATAGGACCCTGGGACCCCTAGCCCCGCTGCCCTTATCAGGGCCGGGACTCTGTGTGGCTCAGTGGTGAGACCCTGGGTACTCACGGCCCGACGTCCTTGTCAGGGCCGGGTTGATGGGCCAATGGTTGGGACCCGTACCCTGGCTAGGTCGGGTTAGATAGCCTCCTCTAGGAAGGACATAGCCGGAGGACCTGAGAGCGTAGCCGGTGTCAGGCACTCGTAGCCGTAGGCTGTGTTCCTAGGCTGTATAGATGACTGTTCTGTAAGGTGTTATAAATAAATACGTGCTGCCTCCGTCAACTCGTCTCCTGCAGTATTTAAGCTGTTACATATACAGTCGCTAGATGCTACCACTATAGGCCGTAGATATTACTGCAGAGCGGCTGGGGAGATCGTGGCTGGGCGGCGGGGGATAGCAGCCCAGCCCCAGCCTGCCAAGGTGCCACCTCGGCCGGCTGGACAATCTAGGCGAGGCTGGAGGCTCTGCACGGGAATACGCCTCACCACGCCACTCTGTTAGGTGAGTACTTTGTGCTTTCCAGTCGATAAATACTGATATAGAGTCAGCATGTACTACTGTAGTGATAGCAGATACCTCCACAGTCGGTATGCACTGCTGTAATCATAGCAGGTACCACCATAGTCAGTACGCACTGCTGTTAGATTTTTAAGAGTAGTTTTGAAACATTTTTAAGACCCGGGCAACTGATAAAAGCAAAGGTTCTAGTAATGTTGTTGATAATATTTCCTATAGTAATTCCCCCTCTTTAAACTGCGAATAATCAGTCCAAATAAGCCAGGAATTATGAACTTTCTAAACACTTATTGTACATTATATATTGATTGGTAGTTGATTATATATGCGACTAGCAGGTGTACCGGTTCTTTGCATGGAAATTAATAGTTTAGTCCATCACAAATGTGACGTCACCACTCACTTGCCGTGCAATAGATTATATCCATTATTCTCCCCCCCCCAAAATACAAAAGTCTATTTTTATACTTTTTACATTGTGTACAGTATGGAAGCTACCCACATGCCAAATTTAAAGTTTGTAGCATGTTGGGAAGTACAGTATGCTAAATATTTCTAACAGACACACATCCACAAATTTCCTTTTTTTACATATATAGATGTATTCAAATGTGCATGAAGTTGTATATCGGACCCTTGGTCAGGACCGTAACCCCCTATTATATCATTGTTTCTGAGAAAATCGGTCTCGACTTGTGTTGTTTGGACTTCTGGAACTTTTTCTAGCCTGTAAACATGCTTCAAATTACCAATTTACCACGTGTCATGAAATTTAGATACATGCGACCAATGACTTTGTGGTGTGTCGTTGATTAGCTTCTGATTACGATTCTAAATGAAGGTTACACGTAACTTAGATATCTCCCGTCTCGGCACAAGTTCAACCACGGGCCTGGGTCACCAGGTTTGCACTCTCACCTAGCCTAGTCTTTCACCGTCCTTTGTCTTGTGTGTCTTTACATCACACCTGCTTGTACATCTCACCTACATTTAATGATAATCTACGTTTCTAAAGTAACTTTAATCAGGAGGTCACAAGGCACTGTACAACACATCTGCCTCCATCTCTCTCCTGTCTCCACATCTCTCACCTGGCTTCAGGGTCTTAATGGCAACGGGGGTGGAGTGGTTCCACAGGCCCTGCCACACCTCCCCGAACTCCCCCTCTCCCAGCTTCCGCTCGAGGCTCACTGCCTCGGCAGGGACCTCCCACACGTCGCCCAGCGATCCTGTGGTCTCAGGGCCCTCTCCCTCGGGAACCTGGGAGTGACACCAACACCTGGGAGTAACACCACACCTGGAAGTGACATCACACCTGGGAGTAACACCACCCCTGGGAGTGACATCACACCTGGGATTGACACCACACCTGAGATTGACACCACACCTGGAAGTGAGATCACACCTGGGAGTAACACCACACCTGGGAGTGAAATCACACCTGGGAGTGAAATCACACCTGGGATTGACACCACACCTGGGATTGACACCACACCTGGGAGTGACATCACACCTGGGAGTAACACCACACCTGGAAGTGACATCACACCTGGGAGTAACACCACACCTGGGAGTGACATCACACCTGGGAGTGACATCACACCTGGGAGTGACATCATCCCTGGGAGTGACACTGACACCTGGGAGTGACACTGACACCTGGGAGTGACATCACACCTGGGAGTGACACTGACACCTGGGAGTGACATCACACCTGGGATTGACACCACACCTGGGAGTGACTCCACACCTGGGAGTGACATCACACCTGGGAGTGACACTGACACCTGGGAGTGATACTGACACCTGGGAGTGACTCCACACCTGGGAGTGACATCACACCTGGGAGTGACATGACACCTGAGAGTGACACTGTCACCTGGGAGTGATATCACACCTGGGAGTGACACTGACACCTGGGAGTGACATCACACCTGGGATTGACACCACACCTGGGAGTGACTCCACACCTGGGAGTGACATCACACCTGGGAGTGACACTGACACCTGGGAGTGACACCACACCTGGGAGTGAAATCACACCTGGGAGTGACATTACACCTCGGAGTGACATCATGCCTGGGAGTGACATCACACCTCGGAGTGACATCACACCTCGGAGTGACACTGACACCTGGGAGTGACATCACACCTGGAAGTGACACTGACACCTGGGAGTGACATCACACCTGGGAGTGACACTGACACCTGGGAGTCACACCACACCTGGGAGTGACACTGACACCTGGGAGTGACACTGACACCTGGGAGTGACATCACACCTGGGAGTGACACCACACCTGGGAGTGACATCACACCAGGGAGTGACACCACATCTGGGAGTGACATCACACCTCGGAGTGACAGCACACCTCGGAGTGACACTGACACCTGGGAGTGACATCACACCTGGGAGTGACACTGACACCTGGGAGTGACATCACACCTGGGAGTGACACTGACACCTGGGAGTCACACCACACCTGGGAGTGACACTGACACCTGGGAGTGACACTGACACCTGGGAGTGACATCACACCAGGGAGTGACATCACACCTGGGAGTGACACCAAACCAGGGATTGACACCACACCTGGGAGTGACACCACACCTGAGAGTGACACCACACTTGGGAGTGACACCACACCTGGGAGTGACATCACACCTGGGAGTGACTCCACACCTGGGAGTAACACTGACACCTGGGAGTGACACCACACCTGGGAGTGACACCACACCTGGGAGTGACACTGACACCTGGGAGTGACATCACACCTGGGATTGACACCACACCTGGGAGTGACTCCACACCTGGGAGTGACATCACACCTGGGAGTGACATCACACCTGGGAGTGACACTGACACCTGGGAGTGACACTGACACCTGGGAGTGACTCCACACCTGGGAGTGACATCACACCTGGGATTGACACAACACCTGGGAGTGACTCCACACCTGGGAGTGACATGACACCTGAGAGTGACACTGACACCTGAGAGTGACACTGACACCTGGGAGTGACACCACACCTGGGAGTGACACCACACCTGGGAGTGACACTGACACCTGGGAGTGACATCACACCTGGGAGTGACACTGACACCTGGGAGTGACATCACACCTGGGATTTACACCACACCTGGGAGTGACTCCACACCTGGGAGTGACATCACACCTGGGAGTGACACTGACACCTGGGAGTGACACTGACACCTGGGAGTGACTCCACACCTGGGAGTGACATCACACCTGGGAGTGACATGACACCTGAGAGTGACACTGACACCTGGGAGTGATATCACACCTGGGAGTGACACTGACACCTGGGAGTGACATCACACCTGGGATTGACACCACACCTGGGAGTGACACTGACACCTGGGAGTGACACCACACCTGGGAGTGATATCACACCTGGGAGTGACATCACACCTGGGAGTGACATCACACCTCGGAGTGACATCATACCTGGGAGTGACATCACACCTCGGAGTGACATCACACCTCGGAGTGACATCACACCTGGGAGTGACACTGACACCTGGGAGTGACATCACACCTGGGAGTGACACTGACACCTGGGAGTCACACCACACCTGGGAGTGACACTGACACCTGGGAGTGACACTGACACCTGGGAGTGACATCACACCTGGGAGTGACACCACACCTGGGAGTGACATCACACCAGGGAGTGACACCACACCTGGGAGTGACATCACACCTCGGAGTGACATCACACCTCGGAGTTACACTGACACCTGGGAGTGACATCACACCTGGGAGTGACACTGACACCTGGGAGTGACATCACACCTGGGAGTGACACTGACACCTGGGAGTCACACCACACCTGGGAGTGACACTGACACTGACACCTGGGAGTGACATCACACCAGGGAGTGACATCACACCTGGGAGTGACACCAAACCAGGGATTGATACCACACCTGGGAGTGACACCACACCTGGGAGTGACTCCACACTTGGGAGTGACACCACACCTGGGAGTGACACGACACCTGGGAGTGACTCCACACCTGGGAGTGACACTGACACCTGGGAGTGACACCACACCTGGGAGTGACACCACACCTGGGAGTGACACCACACCTGGGAGTGACATCACACCTGGGAGTGACACCACACCTGGGATTGACACCACACCTGGGAGTGACTCCACACCTGGGAGTGACATCACACCTGGGAGTGACATCACACCTGGGAGTGACACTGACACCTGGGAGTGACACTGACACCTGGGAGTGACTCCACAACTGGGAGTGACATGACACCTGAGAGTGACATGACACCTGAGAGTGACACTGACACCTGGGAGTGACACCACACCTGGGAGTGACTCCACACCTGGGAGTGACATGACACCTGGGAGTGACTCCACACCTGGGAGTGACATCACACCTGGGAGTGACATGACACCTGGGAGTGACACTGACACCTGGGAGTGACACCACACCTGGGAGTGACACCACACCTGGGAGTGACATCACACCTGGGAGTGACACCACACCTGGGAGTGACACCACACCAGGGAGTGACACCACACCTGGGATTGACACCACACCTGGGATTGACACCACACCTGGGAGTGACATCACACCAGGGAGTGACACCACACCTGGGAGTGACATCATACCTGGGAGTGACATCACACCTGGGAGTGACACCAAACCAAGGATTGACACCACACCTGGGAGTGACTCCACACCTGGGAGTGACTCCACACCTGGGAGTGACACCACACCTGGGAGTGACACCACACCTGGGAGTGACACCACACCTGGGAGTGACACCGCACCTGGGAGTGACATCACACCTGGGAGTGACACCACACCTGGGAGTGACACTGACACCTGGGAGTGACACCACACCTGGGAGTGACACCACACCTGGGAGTGACACCACACCTGGGAGTGACTCCACACCTGGGAGTGACAATGACACCTGGGAGCGACACTGACACCTGGGAGTGACATCACACCTGGTAGTGACTCTACACCTGGGAGTGACACCACACCTCGGAGTGACATCACATCTGGGAGTGACACCACACCTGGGAGTGACATCACACCTGGGAGTGACATCACACCTGGGAGTGACATCACGCCTGGGAGTGACACCACACCTGGGAGTGACACTGACACCTGGGAGTGACACCACACCTGGGAGTGACATCACACGTGGGAGTGACATCACACCTGGGAGTGACACTGACACCTGGGAGTGACACCACACCTGGGAGTGACATCACACCTGGGAGTAACACCACACCTGGAAGTGACATCACACCTGGGAGTAACACCACACCTGGGAGTGACATCACACCTGGGAGTGACATCACACCAGGGAGTGACATCATCCCTGGGAGTGACACTGACACCTGGGAGTGACACCACACCTGGGAGTGACATCACACCTGGGAGTAACACCACACCTGGAAGTGACACCACACCTGGGAGTGACACCACACCTGGGAGTGACATCACACCTGGGAGTGACACTGACACCTGGGAGTGACATCACACCTGGGAGTGACACTGACATCTGGGATTGACACCACACCTGGGAGTGACTCCACACCTGGGAGTGACATCACACCTGGGAGTGACATCACACCTGGGAGTGACACTGACACCTGGGAGTGACACTGACACCTGGGAGTGACTCCACACCTGGGAGTGACATCACACCTGGGAGTGACATGACACCTGAGAGTGACACTGACACCTGGGAGTGACACTGACACCTGGGAGTGACTCCACACCTGGGAGTGATATCACACCTGGGAGTGACATCATACCTGGGAGTGACATCACACCTCGGAGTGACATCACACCTCGGAGTGACACTGACACCTGGGAGTGACATCACACCTGGGAGTGACACTGGCACCTGGGAGTGACATCACACCTGAGATTGACACTGACACCTGGGAGTGACATTACACCTGGGAGTGACACTGACACCTGGGAGTGACACCACACCTAGGAGTGACACTGACACCTGGGAGTGACACTGACACCTGGGAGTGACATCACACCTGGGAGTGACACCTCACCTGGGAGTGACACCACACCTGGGAGTGACATCACACCTGGGAGTGACATCACACCTGGGAGTGACACCTCACCTGGGAGTGACATCACACCTGGGAGTGACACCACACCTGGGATTGACATCACACCTGGGAGTGACACCACACCTGGGAGTGACACTGACACCTGGGAGTGACACCACACCTGGGATTGACATCACATCTGGGAGTGACATCACACCAGGGAGTGACACCACACCTGGGAGTGACATCACACCTGGGAGTGACACTGACACCTGGGAGTGACATCACACCTGGGAGTGACACACCTGGGAGTGACACCACACCTGGGAGTGACACTGACACCTGGGAGTGACACTGACACCTGGGAGTGACACTTCACATACGCACACAGAACGATTCCCTGTATAGATTTTAAACAGACTGTTGGGCTGGGATGGCACACGAGTGGGGGGAGTGCCCATTTGAGGCTGAGCTGACCTAGACAAGGCCCCGGATCAGATAACTGTCACTGGTGTTGGTGGCTTTAAGCGTGAATTGAACTTGGGTAGCCGGAGTTGTAGGGCAACTGCTGCATCAACTGCTGCATCAACTGCTCTCCAAACAAACATACATACACGCAAAGATCCCCCGTGTAGCTTAGACTGTTAGGAGAAGTGCTGTTAGCGAGCACCTATGAAGAGCACCTATGAAGTCCGACACGGCACGAGGGGGTGGGTGGCCAACACCACGCTCGGATGCCTTTGTCTCCCCAGTAGTGATATTTTTACACACCACACCAGGTACTAATTTTGAGGCTTAGTCGACCTAGGGGAGGGCCCAGAACCGGTTCAGATATTCATCACTGGTGTTGACCGTGAGCGGGAATCGAACTCGGGTCGCCGGGTTTGTAGTGCAGCGCGCTGCTATCCACTGGGCCACCCGCTCCCCAGACAGCATACACAGACACTTGCGCACACAGACACGCACGTACCGCACTGCATGGCGCCCGGAGCTGGATGCAGAGCGCAGAGTCGCCGCTGCGGAGAGACTCCACGAGCGCGGCGAGGCTTGCGAAGCTCCGCTCCTTCGAGATGGAGAATCCTGTGCGGGTCTTCCTCACGCGCACGTGCTTCACCAGGTCTCCGTCGCGCACTGCACCACCCCCACCACCGTCATCAGCAGGGCTTAGTGTCATCGCGATCGTATACCATCACCATCAACACCATCACAACCCAATCATCAGCACCACCATATACAAAATCATCATAATCAACAGCAGCATTACATTCATCCACCCACCAGCCCGCCCACCCACACACAGACAGACAAAGACCCCCGTATAGCCTTAACAGACTGTAGGGGCAAGTGCTGTTAGCGAGCACCTATGAAGGCCGGAACGGTACACGAGGGGGTGGATGGCCAGCCCCACGCCCGACCGCCTTTGTCTCCCCAGTGGCGATGTTTACACAGCACCAGGTACTCATTTCAGGCTGAGTCGACCTAGGGGAGGCCCAGGACCGGTTCAGATAACCGTCACTGGTGTTGGCCGTGAGCGGGAATCGAACCTGGGTCGCCAGGTTCATAGCGCAGCGCGCTAACCGCTACACTACCGCTCCCCACACAGACATACCCCTGCCCACCCGCCCACGCACACAGTAAAAAATTGTCTGTGGGTTTGTTTGTGGGGTTGTGTGTGTTCGCGCGCTTGCGAACGATTTGCCTCTCCAACGGTTTACGTTAAAAAAAAAACATGTACCACGCCGTAAGCCCCGCTATTCCTTTTTCACATCCATCAACTTTAAATTAGTTTAATTTGCGATTTAGTGCGACTTCTGTGCGCTTCCCATTTATTTATTTATGACGCGTGCACGACCATACCAAATCACGCGCCTTTGGTGGGGGGGTCGGCCCATGCCAAGTCGCACGCCTTCGGTGGGAGTGAGGGGGACATTTTATGTCGCGTTCAAAATGCTATAAAAATACACTAAACGCTGACATTAATTATTCACTGTGTAATGTTCCCCCCACCCCGATGCGTGCAGGTATTACTACTATAGAGTCGCTAGATGCTACCACTATAGGCCGTCAGGGTTAGCAGCTCAGCCTGCCAAAGTGCCACCTCGCCGGCTGGACAATCTAGGCGAGGCTGGAGGCTCTGCACGGGACTAGGCCTCACCACGCCACTCTGTCAAGTGAGTACTTTGTGCTATACAGTCGATAAATACTGCTATAGAGTTTGCATGTACTACTGTAGTGATAGCAGGTACCACCACAGTCGGTATGCACTGCTGTAATCATATCAGGTACCACCACAGTCAGTATGCACTGCTGTAATCATAGCAAGTGCCACCACAGTATGCACTGCTGCAGTGAAAGCAGGTACCACCACAGCACACACTGCTGTAATCATAGCAGGTACCACCACAGTATGCATTGCTGTAATTATAGCAGGTACCACCACAGTCAGTACGCACTGCTGTTATATTTTTAAGAGTAGTTTTGAAACATTTGTAAGACCCGGGCAACGCCGGGTACTTCCCGCTAGTTGTAATAAGGATTGCCATATTGTATAGCCTGTGTTATAGTAATCATCTTAAGTATAATCCTGCGTTAAAAACATGTTGTTGACCACAAAACATGACATGACTTGAACTACAGGTGATCTGACAATCAATTATATTGTAGATGAATATTTAAACAGGTTTAAAGCTATCCTACTTAAATTCATGTGGACGCCCATGATATTTGCCATATTATAAACATAATATACATGTTTATATTGTGACATTCCTTTAATACCTTAATATTTTGCACCTTTGTTGACATGTGATGACATTTTTGCATGAAAATTTGAGGTCGACTATGCCGCGATTTACGGTATTTTTGCAGTAAATAAAATATTTTACATAATACATTCTCAGAAATGTTGAGAAATGTATTATTCATAGTCCCTCTGTACACGCACAGGAATTTAAATAATGACATCTTCGTTAGTTTTATTTGTTTTTTTTCCTCGAATTTGGCACCCCACTTAACTTGGCGCCCCACTTAACTTGGCGCCCTAAGTGACCGCCTAGTTCGCCTATATGCTTACTCCTCTCATCACACTCACCCCACTCTCATCACACTCACTCACACCCTCATCACTCACCCCGCTCTCATCACATCCCTACTCACCCTCACACATCCTGTTCTCATGACACTCACACCATCACCAATCACTCACCACTCTTATCACACTCACACCCTCACCACTCACCCACCCGGATCTCACCCGAGAGGCTGAACCTGCCAGCGCCTCCATCCCGCAGCAGGAAGGCACCGTGCTCATTGGCGCTGGACAGCAGCACGCGCTCCGCCTCGACGCGACTCACGGTGCCGAAGAACCACCTGGGGAGGAGGGCACGGTGAGGGGGGCACGGTGGAAAGGCGGGGGGGGGGGGTACGGTGAGAGGGGCATGGTGGGGAGGGGGGGTATGGTTAGGGGAGCACGGTGAGGAGGGGGCACGGTGAGGGGGGGTAGAGTGAGGGTGGCACGGGGAGGAGTGGAACCTTTTACTAAACCCTTACTCCTCGCCCATCACTCCTCACTCATCACCTCCATCCGTTGTTCATCAACCCTCACCACTCATTCCTCACCCTCCCCCATAACCGCTCACGTACGGCTCGGCGTGGAGGTTTGCGGCGCAGGAGCTGTGTCCTGGGCCCCCCCACGCCTCTCGCCCCGAGCCCCCGGGGCCAGGGGGTTCCCGCAGAACCTCCGCGCCATCATCGGGGCACGCAAAGTCGACTCGGAACCCTTTGCTGTCTCGCGAAGGGTTTCTAACGAGCCCCTGGAGATCCTCGGTGTCGTCGATCCGGGACCCGGACCACAGAGTGTGGGTTGGCGTACGGTCCGAGGCGTGTGGATCCGAGGGGCCGTGGTGCTGCCACTGGGTCGCGGCCAAGCCCCTCGTTCTGCCACTCGTCTGCCCCATGCTGAGCCGGCTCACAGCCCCGTGGGTCACGCTCCCATCTTCTGGCTTTGCACCATCCAAGCGGGGTCCTCACGAGTCGCGTGGTGGTTAACTTTGATCTACGCAGCCGATGCCGCTCTTCACAGTGCGCAGCAGCAGGAGCAGCAGAAGATCGTTAACGACACAGACATTGTGATGGAACGCGGCGGCCCACGTGGACGCGTTGCTGCCGAGGGACCGAGGAGCCCGAGAAGGAGAAGACAAGGCGTGGTTCGAGTAAAACACGGAGCCGAGCCTTCCTCATTTAAACTCTCCCCCTCCCCCAACCGCCCTTGTGTGGGGGGAAGTTTGGCCGCAAGCGCACCGCAGCTTTTTCCGCCCCCACTAGGAGATGAACTCGGAATTTTGCTCTATCTAAAACAACAGCAGCAAGACACCTGTACAGAGCGGTACGTGGAAGGTTTCTCCGGCGTTGTTCTCTCTGTCTCTCTCTCATTCTCGATCATCGATGTTTTCTCTCTCTCTGCTGGTGTTGTTGAAACCTCCGTCACGGTTCGTTGTGACTCCGGGTACATGTCACCATGGCGGTGCTCAACACCTCACGAGGGGAACAAGACGTGGCATGGTTTTCTTAATTTTGGCAAATGAGTGGTGATATTATTCACCTACCACTATGGGAACCACCAGCTACTACTGCGGTAATGATTCATATCACAATTAACTACTACTGCAGTAAACAATGTGTAAAACAATCTACAAATAGTTATATTTACCAATATGACCACTCCTACAATAATCCTGGAATGACAGTTCACCACAGTGATAACACTCGCGTTTGATTACAATCTACCATTCCACGGAACATGATTACAAAGACACAGATTCCATGTTACGGTATAGCCTTTAACAGACTGCTGGGTCCAGTGCTGCAGAAGCGAGCACCCGCTAAGGTCAGCATGGCACACGAGGAGGGAGGGTGTTCAACACCACGACCGGCTGGACACTTTTTTCTGCCCCAAATGATGTTTACACACTGGGCCAGGTACTCGTTTAAGGCTGAGTCGACCTAGGGAAGGAGCAGAACTGCTTTATATATTCGTCGCTGTTACTGGCCGTGAGTGAGGAATCTATCTCGGGTCGCTGGGTTCGTCACGCAGTGCCCTAACCACTGCGCCTCCGCTCCCCATACTACATCAATGACTATAATCCCAGCTGTAATTAGTTGCAATGAAAGGACACTAGATCGCCCCCCCCAACTCCAGATCAAACACGGACTTTTAATTAGATCTACAACTGCTAATATCTGATTATTATTCAAGCATTGCCTGTTTTATTGCAGTAAAGTACTCTCATACACCAAAAACGTGGACTCCACCCGTTCCTTCTGTATGGGGTAGAGTTGCTGTCTTGCACGCGTTGATTTTATCCGGGTACTCCGGGTGTCCTCCCACATGTAAACACTCTTCATTCGATGACCACATCTTAATATACTCTTTGGTTCTTTCGGTAAAGTCACGTAGAAAGAAACTGTCTTGCCTCACGGCAGATGTGAAGCGTACGTTCACAGGAAGTTACTGTTTTTTATGCTAATTTTGGTCACGTGACCAGGAAGTTACGATTTTAGATTTCCACTGTACCACGCGGGCGTCGGCCATTACACAGATAAGTCAAGATGGCAGCACGCATCGCATCTCAGTGAGACCATAGCCGCACTTGTCCATTGTGGGAGCTTAAGAAGCATTGTCTGTAAGTTTGTGTATATTCCTATAATATTGGCAATGCTGTTGTAATGTTGGAATGACCGTTATAGTGATGTAAATGCCTTTATGGTGCCGTTAAGTTGTTGTAGTAAATACGAGGCCTAGTTAGTAACGAAGCCTGCGACTTTCCTTATTGTGGATGTTACTTGTGATTTAGTAGGTCGAGTCAGACTTGTGCCTATGTTGCGATCCTGAGAGTAAAGATGACGAAGTATCTCATCCACAGTTTAGTGTTATGTGTAATGCTGTACTTTTGGGGTGCAGTGGGATGAATACACGATGTGCCTGTATGCAACGCACCGGCGTGTGCTTTTGTCTAGTTGTTCAGTTGTAATGTAGGGGCCTGGTCCGTCCAGGATCTATTGTTATCTAAGACAATGTTCTGATGCTGTGGTGTTCATTGTGTTGGTGTTTCTGGATTATAACAGATGCTGTATCTGTGTTTTCTCACCAGTTTTACCTTGTTACAATCAATAAATGACGATTGGAGTTGGACGTTCATCCTGGCTCCGAGGGTTTATTGAATGCAAGGTTATCTACTCGACTAGCGGTGCAACGCAGCACACAGTGAGGCCGAGATAGAAACTAAATAATAATCGAATACAACGTTTCGATTGCAACAAAAGCTACCATCATCAGGTACAAATGAATGAGAAAACAAAATAGTCAACTTTGAAATAAAATGCAATACAACACAGAGAGTCGGCCAACAAAACAGTCAATACCCCACCTGGTTGATTACGTTCTCCCAAAGATTTCTAAATTTGAGAGAGAGACAAAACATAGACACGAAGACAGACACACAAGCAGAGAGAGACTCACAAAGAGACAAACATGACAAACCTTATTAATTGGCTGTCGGGTGGTGGCGGGTTTAACGACACATTTATATTTATGCGATCTAACCCAAAAACACCTCTATTAGAGACATACATGGCTCATCATCAGCCATGATTGATCCACTGCTGCATAGATGAAGGCCTCTCCAAAACCGTCGCCACCTCGCGGTCGTGCGATGTAACAATTTACCCAGCACACCACTCCAATCCCTCATCCCTTCTTTCTGTGTCGTTTCCTGGCCCATTCCCCAATTACCTTTCTTAACTACGTGATGTTCTTTTAAACTGTGTACGTTCTCGAATTCGTATGGTCCTCTCCACATCTCAATGGGATTCCAAGCATGCACCGCTCTCCACGCTTACATTTTTGTTCCGGGTATCAATGTGAAAGTTCCATATTTCTAACGCGTCACAGCAGTCAATAGCGCCGCAGTGGCTAGATGTTAACTACCTTGCCTGGTATACAGGAAGTCATGAATTCGATCACGCCTGTATATTTGGAGTTTGCACGTTCTCTCCCTGTGGTTGTATGGATTTTTCTCCGGTCCTCCCTTTTTTCCCTCCACATTTAGAAACATGCGTTTAGAGTATTCCACGTGATAAGCCACTTCGCTGAGCTCATTTGTGGCCTGGTCGCTTCTGAAAAAGAGCTATATAGCTTAGTGGGCCTTACCTGATAAAATAAAAAAAGTTAGTTTTTTTGTTTGGATTTGTTTAAAGCCTTCGTTTGGTGCGTAATTACGTCCATAATTGACAACACATACACACAAAAGTGTGCTGCGATTATCACGGTTGGCTACATACAGTGCAATAGAAGTTCAACTTACATAAGGCACCTCCTATTGTTCTGCGCAATGCATGCCATTGAAAGGTCTTCGTCATGGAACGCCGTTGTTTCCTCAGCATGAACGCGTGGAGGGTAGGCGACACGACACGAACAGTTGCAGGCGATTCCATTCTGTCACCAGAACTACACCACCATTTTTTAATAATCCCACACTTTATCGCAAACATCTTATATACCATTTTATAATTGTGTTGTGCAGTAGAACCACGCGGAGACGGATTTTCTATAAGGGCTGTTGCCGTTTTACTAACACTGTTACATTAAGTACTTTAAGCTCACACCAGAGGTTGGTGCTCTCTCTCTGGGTCCATACCCCGGACCCCAAACACTATTTCGTTCTACCCTCTCTTTCTCAGCCGATCCTTACTGGATACTCGGAGCCCTACTCTCGGCTATCCCCTTGGCTCTCCCACTCGTCTGCCCGGGACGGGGTTCAACCAACACCGCCCGGCGACGAGGAGCAAAAGACCGCTCCAGCCGATCCGTGCCCTGGCTCCCCACAACGACCACGGCTTTGTGCAAAAAATATGCACTATTTAGCCCCCCCCTCAAAAAATACAAGTCTATTTTAATAATTATTGCATGGTGTACAGTCTCGAAAGTACCCACATGGCAAATTTCAAGTTTGTTGCATGTCGGGAAGTACGCTAAACATTTTGAACAGACACACATAATCACAAATTTCCCTTTTATATATGTAATACTAGCTGTACTACCCGGCTTCGCCCGGGACTTGTATCCACCACGGCCGGCCGCCTTTGTCTCCCCAGTGGCGATGTTAATACGCTACAGCAGTTACTCGTTTGAGGCAGAGTCGACCTAGGGGAGGTTCAAATAATCGTCACCGGTGGTGGCCGTGAGCGGGAATGGAACTGGGTTCGCCGGGTTGGTAGCGCAGCGTAGCGTTAAGCACTACACCCACCGCTCCTCACACACCACACACGCACAGACACACACACAGACACACACACAGACACACGCAGACACACACAGACAGAGACACACACACAGACAGCACGCTAACCACTACACTACCGCTCCCCACACACCACACACGCACACACACAGACACACACACAGACACACACACAGACACACACACACAGACACACACACACAGACACAGGCAGCACACTAAGCACTACACTACCGTTTCCCCTACACAACACACGCGCGCGCGTCCATAGGTACACATACACGCGCTTGCTGCAGACACACACGACTTTCAGGGTGCGTACGGCAGTAAACGACTGAAATAATAAAGCGGCAATGCTGCGCAAGGGACGCCTTAGACCTGCAACACATTTGTGTAATGCGAGCGTAAAGACACAAACTCATACAAACACATACACAATATACACACACACATACATGCAGACACACAGACAGACACATAACACACATACATACACACACATACATACACAGAAACACATACACATACATAGACACACACATACATACACCCAAGCACATGCACACATGTAAATACACACATACATACAGACACGCAGACATACACATAAAGACATAGAAAAAAACCCACATACATACACACACACACAAACACATACACATACATACACACATACATACACACACAGAGATACACATAAACACATACACACATACACAAAAGACCCGGCTTCGCCCGGGACTTGGATCCACGATGCCCGTCCGCCTTTGTCTCCCCAGTGACGATGTTCACACACGACAGCAGTTACGCGTTTGAGACTGAGTGGACCTAGGGGAGGGCCAGGTCCGTTTCAAATAATCGTCAGCGGTGGTGGGCGTGAGTTTGAATCGAACTGGG